GACATATATGAGGCCAACAAACATATGAAAAAATGCTCATCGTCACTGGTCATCAGAGAAAAATGCAAATCAAAACTACACTGAGATACCATCTCACGCCAGTTAGAATGGCGATCATTAAAAAATCTGGAGACAACAGATGCTGGAGAGGATGTGGAGAAACAGGAACACGTTTACACTGTTGGTGGGAGTGTAAATTAGTTCAACCATTGTGGAAGACAGTGTGGTGATTCCTCAAGGACTTAGAAATTCCAGGCCGGGCGCGGTGGCTCAAGCCTGTAATCCCAGCACTGTGGGAGGCCGAGGCGGGTGGATCACGAGGTCAAGAGATCGAAACCATCCTGGTCAACATGGTGAAACCCCGTCTCTACTAAAAATACAAAAAATTAGCTGGGCATGGTGGCGCGTGCCTGTAATCCCAGCGACTCAGGAGGCTGGGGCGGGAGAATTGCCTGAACCCGGGAGGCGGAGGTTGCAGTGAGCCGAGATCGCGCCATTGCACTCCAGCCTGGGTAACAAGAGCGAAACTCCGTCTCAAAAAAAAAAAAAAAAAAAAAAAAAAGAAATAGAAATTCCATTTGACCCAGCAATCCCATTACTGGGTATATATCCAAAGGATTATAAATTGTTCTACTATAAGGACACGTGCACACAGATGTTCATTGAACTGTTTACAATAGCAAAGACTTGGAACCAACCCAAATACCCATCGATGATAGACTGGACAGGGAAAATGTGGCACATATACACTATGGAATACTATGCAGCCATAAAAAACGGTGAGTTTGTGTCCTTTGTAGGGACATGGATGAACCTGGAAACCATCATTCTCAGCAAACTGACACAAGAACAGAAAATCAAACACCACATGTTCTCACTCATAGGCGAGTGTTGAACAATGAGAACACATGGACACAAGGAGGGGAGCATCAGACACTGGGGTCTGTCACGGGGAAATAGGGGAGGGACGGTGAGGGGTGGGGAGTTGGGGAGAGAGAGCATGGGGAGAAATGCCAGATATAGGTGATGGGGAGGAAGGCAGCAAATCACACTGCCATGTATGTACTATGCAACAATCTTGCATGTTCTTCACATGTACCCCAAAACCTAAGATGCAATTAAAAAAAAAAACTCTGTCTCAAAAAAACAAAACAAAAAACCAAGTATTTGCTTTAGTTCTCATCATTCATATTAGAGAAAGAACTTGTCAGCACCCTACATGTAGTAAAATGTACACATTTGAACCCTAGGTCAATAAAACCCTTACTCTGACCCCAAATTTGCCTTCATGTAAATGTTATCACCCTAGCAAATGCTACTACATGCCCAATTCTCATTCTTTTTGAGAAAATGTCCAAAAATGTGGAAAGACAGCAACCCCAAATACCAGCGGACAGACGTGTTCTCTGTCCTTCTTCGAAGTAACAGACCAACTCCCAAGAAGTACCCCACACTCACCTGCTGGGCTATGAGGTCCAGCCGGCTTTCCAGGGTGTTGGAAACCTTTATTTTACGATCCCCATTATAGATCTCAACTCCACCAGCTCTACAAAAACAGCACAGAAAATAATCATTTTCAAACACTTGAGACACACACATGGTACCCTTTGCTCCCGCAGAGGAATGCCCTTGTCTTGGTGTGTGGACTGCGTGCGCAACTAAGCACCAGGCTTGAAAGGAACTGGAAAAGCTTCCGAAGATAGTCTCCAGGCCCAGGCACAGTTGCTTTCAGGACACCCCTGTCCCCGCCCAGATGTTCAAGTCCATTATACTCAACAGTGTAGTATTTGCATACAACCATCACACATCCTCCCCTATATTGTAAACCGGGTCTACAGCGCTTACCATAGCGATTACAACGTAAATGGTTGTTAAACTGTATTGTTTAGGGAGTAAAAAGTTGGTTAAATCCACAGGTGTGGACCCCAAAGTTACAGAGAACTGACTATATTCGTGTCAATAACTGTCATTTACCAAGTGACACTATGTGTCAATTTGGTTTTTTTTGAGACAGAGTCTTACTCTGTTGCCCAGGTGGGAGAGTGCAATGGTGCCATCTCAGCTCACTACAACCTCCACCTCCTGAGTTCAAGCAATGCTCCTGTCTCAGCCTCCTCAGTAGCTGGGATTACAGGCACCCGCCGTCATGCCTGGCTAGTTTCTGTATTTTTGTAGAGATGTGATTTCACCATGTTGGCCAGGCTGGTGTCAAACTCCTGACCCCAGGTGATCTGCCCACCTTGGACTCCCAAAGTGCTGGGATTACAGGCGTGAGCCACTCTGGCTGGCCTGTGTCAATTTGATTTTACGTTACAGAATCCGTTTTAATTCTCATAGCCAGCCCTCTCCAACAAAATGAAAAAGGGAGGATTTCATCTCAAGTTTGCAAATCACTCAGAGAGTCCTCATCTGAATTTTTTTTTTTTTTTGAGACGTCTTCCTCTGTCACCCAGGCTAGAGTGTACTGACATGATCTTGGCTCACTGCAACCTTTTCACCTCCCAGGTTCAAGCGATTCTCCTGCCTCAGCATCCCGAGTGGCTGGGATAATAGGCACCTGCCAACACACCCTGCTAATTTTTTTATTTTTAGTAGAGACAGGGTTTCACCATGTTGGCCAGGCTGGTCTTGAACTCCTGACCTTGTGATCCATCTGCCTCGGCCTCCCAAAGTGCTGGGATTACAGGCGTGAGCCACCATGCCTGACCTCCTCTGAATGTTTTCTTGAGCCCAATCCAGCTCATCACTGATAAGCAGTGAGGAGGATACTGATGAGGCCCTATCACGACTGCATGTGTGTCTGATAAAAGATGCCACTGCTGGCCAGGTGTGATGGCTCACGCCTATAATCCCAGCACTTGGGGAGGCTGAGGCAGGTGGATTGCTTGCAGTCACAAGTTTGAGACCAGCCTGGCCAACGTGGTGAAACCCCATCTCCACTAAAAATACAAAAATTAGTCGGGCATGGTGGGCTGTACCTGCAGTCCCAGCTAGTTGGAGGGCTGAAGCAAGAGAATCACTTGAACCCAGGAGGCAGAGGTTGCGGTGAGCCGAGATCATGCCAGTGAACTCCAGCCTGGGCGACAGAGAGACTCTAACTCCAAAAAAAAAAAAAAAAAAAAAAGCTATGAGGTGGGTGCCATTATGCCAATTTGCAGATGAAGCAATCAGGGCTCACTGTTACGGTGTGAGTCTGTTCCCTCAGAAACTCATGCAGAAACCTGATTCCCAGTGTGGCAGTGTTGGAGTGTTCAGCGCTGGGGGCAGATCCCGAGGCAATGAATTCTGGCGGGGGCCTGGATTCTGGCTTCAGTAGGACTTGACTGAGCAGAGGGTAGGCTGGTATGATAGGGAGTCTAGCTCCCTAGGCTCTCCTACCTCCTCTCTTGCCACATGGTCTCTATACACACATCCACTCCCCTTCTACCTTCTGCCACGAGTGGAAGCAGCCTGAGGTCCTCACCAGATGCAGCTGTCCAATCTTCAACTTTCCAGCCATGAGAATCATGAGCCAAATAAACCTCTTCTCTCCATGCATTACCCAGCCTCGGGTATTCTGTTACAGCAACTCCCAGTGGGCTACGGCACTCAGTCAAACAGTAACGAGTCCAAGGTTACCCAGCCAGTAAGTGGCAGAATGGGGAATTAAACCCAACTCTGACAGCAATCTTACAAGTTTATAGGCCTTTTCCATTTACAGAGCATTTTCACATGTACTATCTCATCTTCTTTTCTTCACCGCATGAAACAAAAAAGCAAAAAGCATTGATCCCATTTTACAGATGATGAATTCGGTCTCCAGGTCCAGGCAAAAGGCCAAGATAGGACTCAAATCTAGTTCTTACAGTCCTAAGTCTGATAATCAACGAAGTTCAAAATGTGTCCAAGGGACGTTCTTCAATGTTAGTCAGTGGTGTGGCTAGCTGGCCTCATACAGGCTGGTGAAACAGAGAAAATGACCCTGGCTCTCCCCGTCAGGAGCTTCCACTGCCTACCTCAGCCACGTGAAGCTCATTAGGGATGCTTACCCCGGCCATGTTCTGTCATTTCCTCACAGCTGTAAAAATACCACTCGTACCTGCAATTCTGTCTTTAAGAAACATACTTACTAGGCATACACAATTCTTCTGTTACTTAGAAGGAGGGAGTATTGGGCTGGGCGCAGTAGCTCACACCTGTAATCCCAGCACTTTGGGAGGCCGAGGCGGGTGGATCATCTGAGGTTGGGAGTTCGAGACCAGTCTGACCAATATGGAGAAGCACCATCTCTACTAAAAATACCAAATTAGCCGGGCGTGGACTTGGGAGGCCGAGGCAGGAGAACTGGTTGAACCCAGGAGGTGGAGGCTGCGATAAGCAGAGACTGTACCATTGCACTCCAGCCTGGGCAATGAGAACGAAACTCTACCTCAAAAAAAAAAAAAAAAAAAAAAAAGAGGGAGTATCTACCTCAGCATCGAATACAAAGATCTGGTTCTAGCTTTCATCCTGGGTGCCACCTCCCTGCGGAAGGAATGCAGTGACCATAAACTAGACCCCCTCTTTTGAGACGGAAGTCTTGCTCTGTCACCAGGCTGGAGTGCGGTGGTGCGATCTCGGCTGCCTGCCACCTCCGCCTCCTTCATTCAAGCAATTCTCCTGCCTCAGCCTCCTGAGTAGCTGGGATTACAGGCACGTGTCACCATGCCCAGTTAATTTTTGTATTTTTTTTTTTTTTTTCCTGAGACGGAGTTTCGCTCTTGCTGCCCAGGCTGGAGTGCAATGGTGCAATCTCAGCTCACTGCAAACTCCGCCTCCTGAGTTCAAGCGATTCTCCTGCCTCAGTCTCCCGAATAGCTGAGATTACAGGCACCCATCACCACGCCAGCTAATTTTTGTATTTTGAGTAGAGACGAGGTTTCACCATGTTGGCCAGGTTGGTCTTGAACTCCTGACCTCAGGTGATCCACCCACCTCAGTCTTCCAAAGCGCTGGGATTACAGGCGTGAGCCACTGTGCCCAGACAAACTAGACTTTTAGAGTACATTTAGCTGGCTAGCAAGGGAGAACGACACAGAACAACAGAGCACTGACAGAACAATGGGAGCAGCTGCAAGTGGAACACACCACGGCTCTAGCCTTTTGTCTAGAGTGTGTTGGTGAAAATACCCTTTAAAAAGGGCCCAGTATAAAGGCCACTCTCACAGGGAAAGAAGGTAGCTGTTAGCAGGAATACTCCTTACATGTCCTCAGGCAGGTAGGACTCCTGGTCAATTTGGACATCAACATCATTTTTGGTGGCAATTTTGTACATTGGGATTGCCTTTTGCACCGCAGCCTGGAAATACAGAAAACAATGAGAGGCATTATTAGAAACTATGAAGCTGTTATCCAAAAACTCAACGAACTATACAAGCAAAGATATTTCCACTTATCCCATGTAGAAGAACAGAAGCACTGCTGTTGGGAACGTAAAACAGGGCAGCCACTGAGGAAAAATGACAGTCTGCACACAGGAGGGAAGAGACACGAATGGTTTCTGTCAATATTTAATAGGGCGGCCGGGCGAGGTGGCTCACACCTGTAATCCCAGCACTCTGGGAGGCCTAGGTGGGTAGATCATGAGGTCAAGAGATGGAGACCATCCTGGTCAACATGGTGAAACCCCGTCTCTACTAAAAGTACAAAAATTAGCCGTGCATGGTGGCACATCCCTATAATCTCAGCTACTCCGGTGGCTGAGGAAGGAGAATCATTTGAACCAGGGAGTTTGAGGTTGCAGTGAGCTGAGATTGTGCCACTGCACTCTAGCCTGGAAACAGAGGGAGACTCCGTCTCAAAAAAACAAAAAAAGATTTAATAGGGTTTAGAAGGTGATTCAACATGCCAGGGGCAGGTATCAGATTTGAAACATCAGCAGGAGGAGGAAAATACATGAACCCATGAACTGAGAGTGTTAGAAGCAGAGGATAGGTAACGAAAGCAGGGAGGGAAGAAAAGTTTGGCTGCTGACATGAGCTTAAAGTGGCAGTTGCAGATGAGGGGTGACAGTAGGCACCAAATACAGCAGTGCCATGCCACACCCATGAGGATGGTTCTGATCAAACAGTATGACACGTCCTCAAAAAATGAAGCACAGAATTACCATATGATGCAGCACTTTTGCTTCTGCGTATACAAACGGATAGAAAGCAGGACAAATATCCATATACCCATGTTTGCAGCAGGATTATTCACAACAGTCGAAAGATGGGAGCAACCCAAGTGTCCATGGACAGACGAGCGGATAAACACAACGCGGTGCGTCCACACGTGGAATATTATCCAGCCTTACAAGGAAGGGCACTCGGACACACTACAGGGACCCTGAAGGCATTATGCTAAGTGAAGTCACAAAAGGACAAACACTGAACGTTTCCACTTATATGAGGAGAACAGAGCAGAGAAGAACAGAACAGAACAGAACAGGACAGGGCAGAAAAGAAAAGAACAGACAGTTAGTGTTTAAAGGGCACCAAGTTTCAGCATGGGAAAGTGCGAAAGTTCTGGAGAAGGATGGTGGTGATGGCTGCCCAACATTGCGAATGAACTTAATGGCACAATGTACAGTTAAAATGGCAAATCGTATGTATATTTTACCACAATTAAAAAAAAAAGAAAGTAGCTCCTTGGAAAAGAAGACAGCAGTGGGATTTTAAGCTATCTTATCTTGCAATTAGTGTGGTGGACGTAATTAATAAAGTCTTGTCTTTGAACAGTATTGTGTACACTCGAGTAGCCGCGTAAATCCTTTCTCGGAACAGCTGAAGGACACCCACGTTTCTGTCTGACACTATTACTTTGTTGAACAAATTGATGGTCTATTTAATAGTTCCTTGTTTTCAAATCTAACGCAGCACCACTTTGGAGAGCGAATCACCAGTTCCGGACATTGATACTGCAGAAGTTTCGAGAAAAAGCTTTCTTGGCACCCAGAAATATCACGGTGTTTTCTAGAGAGGGCTAGTGGGCAACTTAACCCTCCCTCCACTGAACGTTACCTTGGTGAATTCTCTATCATGACATCGAGCTCTGTTCTACAGGTAAGTGAGGCTGTCGGCACAAACGTGGACTTGGGTTACTGAGATGGTTTCTAACCTATTATGAATAACAGTGGAGAATGTACAGTGCAGGGGAATGAATATCTTGTGTTCTCTGGCTGGCGCACTTTCTTTCCTAGCGGACAAGTTACTTAGGGAGACAAATTATAATAAAAATGCAAACAGGCTGCGCGTGGTGGCTCACGCCTGTAATCCTAGCACTTTGGGAGGTCAAGGTGGGTGGACTGCCTGGGCTCTGGAGTTTGAGACCAGCCTGGCAACACAGTGAAACCCCATCTCTACTAAAATACAAAAAATTAGCTGGGCGTGGTGGCGTGTGCCTGTAGTCCCAGCTACTTGAGAGGCTGAGACAGGAGAATCGCTTGATCCCTGGAGGCAAAGGCTGCAGTGAGAGCTGAGACTGCGCCATCGTACTCCAGCCTGGGTGACAGAGCAAGACTCCAACACACACACACACAAAAAGGCTGGGCGCAGTAGCTCACACCTGTAATCCTAGTACTTTGGGACGCCAAGGTGGGCGAATCATCTGAGGTCAGAAGTTTGAGACCAACCTGACCAACATGGAGAAACCTTAGCTCTATTAAAAATACAAAAAATTAGTTGAGCATGGTGGCACATGTCTGTCATCCCAGCTACTTGAGAGGCTGAGGCAGGAAAATCGCTTGAATCCAGGAGGTGGAAGTTGTGGTGAGCTGAGATCACGCCATTGTACTCCAGCCTGGGCAATAAGAGGAAAACTCCAACTCAAAAAAAAAAAAAAGGCAAATATATTTATAATGAGAAATGTAATTGACAGGGGACTAAGCACTCACCTCCTTATCCTTGCCCTAAAGCAACATACATGGAAAAAAAATTTTAATCTCAGCCGGGCGTGGTGGCTCATGCCTGTAACCCAAGTACTTTGGAGGCCAAGGAGGGGGGGATCACCTGAGGTCGGGAGTTCAAGACCAGCCTAACATGGTGAAACCCCATCTTTATTTAAAAAAAAAAAAAAAAAAAAAAAAACAAAAATTTTAATCTCAAGAGCAACCTGAGACCTCAGACTCAGAGCTGACCAGCCTCTTCGGGTGCCCACATTCTTTCTCTAGGTACAGGAACACACTGAGGGAGGTCAGTCAAGCTTGCTTGTCTGGCAACAGGCTACCTCCCAAGACGGCATTGCCTGTCTTTGTTCCAATCCAAAGTGCTGCTTCTATTATTTGAGTTTTAGGATTCAGAATTACCAAGTTCCTAGAAAGAGCGGAGCGTACTAGCTTGCCCTCTTAAGAAAACAGACTAGAGGCTAAAGTACACTTAAATTAATACCTACAATGTGTTAAAACTCTAATTCCTATGGTTCAGCTATTTTGTATTAGAACATGCACTTCATCCTAACATTTTGATCTTTAAAAAAAATGAGAGGAAAAAAAAAAAGAGAAAATTATTATATAAGTTCTTTACCTTTACCAGAGGGAAATCTTGTTTCCTGCATCGAACAATCATTCGGGGCTCCAGCAACTGGTACAAACCCTGGAAGAAACAGTCGATACAATTAGTAGAAAATACAAACTATAAAATAAAGCAGCAGGCTGGTGCTGTGGCTCAGGCCTGTAATCCCAGCACCAAAAGGAGGCCAAGGCAGGCGGACTGCCTGATCCCAGACCAGCCTAGGCAACATGGCAAAACCCCATCCCTACAAAAAATAGGAAAAATCAGCCAGGCCTGATGGTGCATGCCTATAATCCCAGCTACTTAGGAGGCTGAGGCAGGAGAATGGCTTGAACCCAGGAGGTGGAGGGTACAGTAAACCATGATGACGCCACTGCACTCAGCGCCTGGGCGACAGAGCAAGACTCTGTCTCCAAAAATAAAATATAAAATAAAATAAAGCAACAGTAAAATAAGATGTTTCTATACTTCTTTCATTTAGGTTGGAAAAATATCCCCCAGTAAGTTCTGCTAACAGATGGCATATGCCACATGAGAACATGGAAAGATCCATCCACCACAGACCCGATAAATATACGCAAACCTTTGGTGGTAGAAACAAAATTCATACAGACGTCTTATCTTGCATCAACCAAGCTGAGGGCAAATATTACTGTAATTAATGTAAGTGAATAGGGATCCACAGCTCAGCAGTAAACAATCAAAACATATACAGTGTTTGGTCTGAATCCTAAATCTAAAGCAAGTATTGTAGTGGCAAAATCAAATTAAGGGAATTTAAAGCTAGCCATTGCAAGCAAATCTCACCCTTAAGTCACGTAATCCTACATAAATGAGTAGTAGGCCTGGAACCAGCCTTATCCAACCAGACAGATTTACAATCTTCCTATGCAGCACATAGTTCAGACACGGTCAAGAGTAAAAGGAAAAAAGCAAAAAGCAAAAAAAAGGGTGAAGGGAAAAAAAACTATGACGAGACAGCAGGAAAAACAGAGCTGGTCTCTTAATAGGCACTCTAAATTTCCTCAGAACGGTAGCTATAAACAGCAGATCTGGTCTGTGAGGGTACCTGGAGAACCAGTCCATCCAGCAGCACTTGGTACCTGGTTGTATCTTTTACCACCTTGCTGAGCCTCTGTTTCGCTTCATTTAGTAGGTCCTACAAAGATTAGAAAAGATAAAAGTTATCTACATATCTGGGCAGTCGGCTCAAAACCCACTGTGAGGCTGGTCCTGGCTCATGTCAGCTGCCCACATTTTATTGCTGGGTTTTCATTCAACACACATTCCCTGAGATCTGAGATAAAGCAGGGGCTGTGCTGGGTACAAGGAAGCACGTAACACCATCTCTGCTCCCAGGGAGTACGTGGCCTAGCAGAGAATAGCTGAGGTAACCATCAGTTCAGAAATCGACACAAGTGGCTTTGTGACTTTGAAAAGTAAGCTATTAAAATGGTTATTATACATGATTATCCCATTTTATTTTTTAAGGAAAAAAAAACAGATGTCTGGCTATAGATCCAAATACCAACAACCTACCTCTGGAAGGCTAGATTATGAATAATTTCAAGAATTTTTTTTTTTTTTTTTTGAGATGGAGTTTTGCTCTCGTTGCCTAGGCTGGAGGGCAATGGTGCCATCTCAGCTCACTGCAACCTCCGCCTCCCGGATTCAAGCAATTCTCCTGCATCAGCCCCCTAAGTAACTGGGATTATAGGCACCCGCCACCACATCCAACTAATTTTCCTATTTTTAGTAGAGACGGGGTTTCACCATGTTGGCCAGGTTGGTCTTGAACTCCTGACTGCAGGTGATCTGCCTGCCTCAGCCTCCCAAGGTGCTGGGACTGCTGGCGTGAGCCACCGTGCCCAGCTGTTTGTTTGAGACAGGGTCTTGCTCTGTTGCCCAGGCTGCGGTGCAGTGATGCAATCATGGCTTACGACAGCCTTGACCATCCAAGTTCGAGCCATCCTCCTGCTTCGGCCTCCTCAGTAGCTGGGACCACAGGTGTGTACCACTATGCCCAGCTCATCTTTTTTTGTTTTTTATAGAGATGGGTCTTGCTATATTATCTAGGCTGCTCTTAAACTAGTGAGCTCAAGTAATCTTCTCATTTGATCTCCCAAAGTGCTCGGATTACAGGAGTGTGCCACTGCATCCAGCCTCAACGTTCTTTATGTTAGTTTGTATTTTCTTTCTTTTTTTTTTTTTTGAGACAGAGTCTTGCTCGGTCGCCCAGGCTAGAGTACAGTGGCACGATCTTGGCTCATACAACCCCCACCTTCCAGGTTCATGTGATTTTCCTGCCTCAGCCCCCCAAGTAGCTGGGATTATAGACACCCACCACCGTGGCCCGCTAATTTGTATATTTTTAGCAGAGCACCGTGCTAGGCCGTTAGTTTGTATTTTCTAATCTGTCTCCAATAAACATTGACTTTTATAATAAAAACAACTAAAATAGGAATATTATCAGGAAACAAATCTCATATGGCTGAGAACACACTGGAAATCATTTGTTAAGTAACAAGGCTTTTAAGGGCTAAAAGAAAACTCAAGTCTTTTAAAGGGCACAGGTAATGCCCTGAATTCAACTGCTGGCCACTTAACACTGTTAGGTACATTAAGTTAGAGTAAGTATCCATACAGCTTTTTTCACTTAATAAATATGATCTTGGGAAAGTTATGTTGTTTGGTATTTTAAGCAGGAGAGAAACATGCATGCTTGCCGGGAGAGGTGAATCAGGATTTGGGGAAGGAGGGCAGAGAGCAGGGAGAGACCTGTCTGCTGAAAAGCCCCTTATTTGGATGAGGTCACCAGAGCCTCAGCCCTGTGAGAACCACTGATGTCTAGCACATCTGCAGCGAGCTCTCACTCCACACTGGTGCCCAAGGAGGGCACTCCAGTACAAGGCTCCAAAGTCACAGTGGGTGCTCAGGGGAAGAGCAAACCGGAGGCTTTCATTGCACACCCTTTTCACCAAGTAGATGTATAAACTATTTCAATATTCAGCATCTTGATTACCATGCACCTCACCATTCTCAGATGAGAGAGATCAGATCAGCAGCTGGTTGGAATGGATGCCCACTGTCATAGCACACCTGTGGTGGTGATGGTAGGGGAGCTATCACATTTCACAGCAACCCATGCAGACAACTCAATCACTGTGAATACCTTCCTAATGTAAATATGATATACAAGTATGTAAGTCAATGAGCAAGTGAGAGCTGGAACTCATGTACAACAGGCTGACTGCAAACTCTTCCCTCCCTTCTAATCTAATGCCCATCTGCTAAGGCCTGAGGGAACGCATCAGCTGGCATGACCTGCCCACAGCAACACAAGGCAGCTGCTGCTCACGTCTTCTCTTCCCCAGGCCATCACTTAATCCTCCCAGTGGGATCTGTCTGAAACTCATTCACACATTTGGACATCTAGTAAGTGCAAATATGCCCAGATTGAAAAAAAAAATCAGGAGCACTCATGTTAAGATCCAATTTTTTTTTTTTAAGATTGGGCTTCACCCTGTTGCCCAGGCTGGGGTACAGTAGCACAATCTTGGCCCACGGCAACCTCCACCTCCCAGGTTCAAATGATTCTCCTGCTTCAGCCTCCTGAGTAGCTGGAATTACAGGCGCGCACCACCACGCCTGGCTAATTTTTGTGTTTTTAGTAGAAATGGGGTTTTATGGCCGGGTGCGGTGGCTCACGCCTGTAGTCCCAGCACTTTGGGAGGCCAAGGCGGGTGGATCACGAGGTCAAGAGATCGAGACCATCCTGGTCAACATGGTGAAACCCCGTCTCTACTAAAAATACAAAACATTAGCTGGGCATGGTGGCGCATGCCTGTAGTCCCGGCTACTCGGGAGGCTGAGGCAGGAGAATTGCCTGAACCCAGGAGGCGGAGGTTGCGGTGAGCCGAGATCGCGCCATTGCACTCCAGCCTGGGCAACAAGAGCGAAACTCCGTCTCAAAAAAAAAAAAAAAGAAATGGGGTTTTATCATGTTACCCAGGCTGGTCTCAAACTCCTGGGCTCAAGCAATCCACCCGCCTCAGCATCCTAAAGTGCTAGGATTACAAGCACAAGCCACTGTGCTCCGCCAAGTTCTAATTTTTTTTTTTTTTTTTTTTTTTT